GTTTCAGAGTTTGTTGAGAGTACGAGTGAGAAGAATGATTGTGGAGGAGAGAATAATTTTTTAGTACGAATGTCGGAAAGAGAATCTGTGCGCAGAGAGAGTCGGACGTTGATCTTTGTAGCAGTAAATTGTATAGTTCTGCTCTCACGTTAGACAAGGCGATCATAGGTTTAACCACCTGCACTCGGAAATATTTCGTTAAAAATACCTAACATTTTCTAACTAGACAAAGACGATATTTTTTTAAATTAACTCAAAGAAAAATCACAAGTAAATTTAGAAACAAAGCTTTTTTAATCCCAATATTTCACACACCGATACATTATACACAGTTCAATATTAAATATCAAATATTATAGTTTCACTTATCAAATCGAGTGGTAACTGAGAGTCACCTCTCGAGTGCCAAAGGTTAAAAGTGCACAGAGGCAAGGGGACTCTTCCACTCACGATACTCGGGCCACCTCGGCTTTCGACGCATGGTCATTATTGGCGTGCGGCAATAACAAAGGACGGAAGCGAGAACGAATACGACGGAGTGAGACGCAACTATAGACAATTTTGTTTTCTCCGAGGAAAACGAAGAAAAATCTATTGTTACAATTTTTATAAGGATTATAAAAGGATTACGTGTTAATCACGTTAAAGGCTCGGTTGTAGTAGTATTAAGAATCATTTTGATCTTAAAAGAATAATACTGTTAGATTATTGGGAAATAAAGTTTTACGCGATATATTTAATTCAATCTTCATATTAAGTTGTATCATTTAGTTCTCCATTATTCTTTTGCCGAAACAGTTTTACGTTTCCAAAACATGCATACTGGTTGCATTTAGAACATTCATCAATACCAAATACTAATATCAATATTTAAATATTTATACGGTTTGCGCATTAACAGGACGCAATATCGTGAAAAGTGAGTATTCTCAAATTAACATTTTCATAAATGCTAGTTTTAAGCACGGGCTCTGTTTATTCGGGACATAGATAACGGCTAATTAAGTTTGGATTCATTCAACTGGGAATACAATATAAGTACAGCTAATTAACCAATCATTATTGAACGATAATTACCATGCATTTAATAAGAATATTTATAGTATCCTATTGTCCATTCATCCAAAACAAAACCTGTTATAAACAATTTACGTAACATAAACCAATGAAATGATATTAAAAATACTGCATTGTGAACGCAAAGTGCGCAATTAAATTCTATTCAAATTAATGCGAACCGTGCAAAATTGTTAATACGTTCATGAAACTTTTATACAGCTAAAAGATTCCATTAATTGTTATTATTGATAACTGTGTGACGTATTTCATGCATTCGCACCGCGTGAAAGTGTGTAAAACAAAATAGGATAAAATCATTAATAAACTCTATTTGTATACTTTATCTGGTATCAAATAAATCCTGTACATGAGACACATCTATTAATTTATATAATACGAATTTCTATATTAATCTCTATATATATTTTATTATTTAATCATTTATTATATAAAATTAGTATAAAAATTAATTAATTAACTATATTAGCACCCACATAATAACTTTTACATTTCTATAAATTAATATTTACTCAAGAACCCGCAGTTACAAGTAATCATTTATTTCTAAAAATCAGTTGATCTATAAATGGAGCAATTTCTTCTTTCAACAAATCTGAAAGCAAAATCCAGATTGCTTAAGCAAATCCTGTTAACGAGCTCCATAAGAAATCGGTGTTTACGAGGGAAAATGCTTTCGAACAATGTAGGACGCGGCCATAACTTCAATTACCGTCTTTATTGACGACATTCGCCGCGGAGGAATTATTATACTTGTTCTAATAATTCGAGTCGAGAAGGCGTGCCGGTGGTAGTGTTAACGGTGTTGATTTAGTACGAGAAAGAGTGAGGTCGTTATGTCAGGGTTATTAAGTATGGCAATATCCACGGTGAAATATTAATGACATTGACGGTTCTTCATGATCGGCCGAGGGGAGTCGGCGAACAGGGCTCGAAGAATAACGATGCCACGCTGAACGAGGTAGCTACTGCACGTTGCACAGAAGATGAACTCCGGAACGACACAGAGCCAACAGGGGTGTCTCGCTGTGTGTTTTGTTTAGTTTTAATTGGTTACACGTAACTTTATTGATGAATAGCATATTAGTATCGATAATGAGACGAGAAAAGTTGGAAACTGACTAATTAGACCCGCTTTTCTTTCTGTGCTCATCTCTTGTGCAACGAAGAGTATACAGAACCGCGTGGTGCCGTATTGCTCACAAAGCAAGCCCCTCTGTACCTGAAAATTCGAATTTTAATGAAACTTTGTACTAACGCGCAGCATATTAATATTGTGTTCAATAACTTCGACATAAATTTCCAGTTTAAAGTATATTTTATTGTGAGTTTATATTAACCGTAAATTTAAAAAGCAATTTACTGAAAAATTTATATTGCCTTTGTCGTACCACAAATCGAAATACTTTCGTAACACATTCACATCGGAAAACGAGAATTTCCATTTTTTTTAAGTAAGCGTTGCCATCGGCAAACAAAAATTCTCGTTTCCCAGTGCGAATGCGTTAAGATACTAAATTATGTATTATATTATATATTAATTACAAAAATAATTATCACAGTTCTAATATATATATATATGTTAAAATATTTTTATATCATTAAAATACCCCATTTTTTATACGAAAGTTTTAGCAAAAATTGCATAATGCAAATGTGTTAATAAACGCGAAAATGAATGATTCCTGAATCGCTTTTATGTGAAAACACAAATTACAATGAAAACGCGTTATGACAAAAGTTGCATGAATGCTCTATACAATTCTGTAAAAAGGATATCGATATAAGCTCCCGGCGTTCCGTGTGAACTTTTATTTCGCCCATTTTTCACGATACGGCCGTCGAACGCTTAGACCATGTCACCGCTACAACGGCAATACTATCGCGTAAGAGGATTAGTCCCTGGTGAACTGTTCGTGCAGTGTACGTGTCTGAAAGCGAGTGAAACAGTATCGTCGATCGACTAGCGAGAACTAGAAAACTAAAATTCCAGAATTTAAATCACTTTAGTCGTTTTCTTTCTGTTTCTCGTTAAACATATTGCTGCCAGTCGATCAAATATAATGAAACAAGTTTTATGATTTATTAATTATTTCAATCGTTGTGTTTATTAATAAATGTTTTTATTCTTAATACTATTAACATACTAATACTAATGATTATTAATATATTATTTCCATTATTTTCGAAGATATAAAGAATTATAGACAAAAGATTATTTATTATATTTAAACAGGAAAATATAGGAAGAAAAATGTTTTTTTCATGAAAATAATATGTATGTACTACAAAATTTCAAAATTATTAACATATTTGTTTTAAATACCTTTTATGAATGTAATTTCCCAAAATCATTATAATCATGATACATAACTGGATTAATTATTTAAATATCTTCGTCAAATTTATTGTATAACGCTTTTAACATATCAATCTATGAAAGTAAAAGTGATAAAAAGAAAATGTAAATGATAAATAGATAATTTTTTATTATCAAATGACTATGCCCCTTTAAAACGTTAAACGTTATCATACAGTAACACATATGTTCTTATGGACCATTGCTTAATTTATGTTTCGCTTATAGCGGATAAAATAGAGCCATTTACTGAATAAAAATATAACAAAAGTATAAGCCATTTTATTCATTACTCCACAAAGTCATAGATATCAATGTTCCATATTTTTACGGCTTGTACGTATTCAAATGTATGCAATGAAAGAGTATCTCTAACAATATGCATGCATTATTTAAAACGTACGGAACTCTAAGAAGATGCATCTAAAAAAATGATGTAGCCTTTATTGTATTAAAATTTAAAATGGATATTGCAAAAATACAATGCTGTTTAACTACCACTGAGCCGAAAGTGCTTCATTAATTCTATTTTCATTTCAACGTTCCGTAATTCGTCCTGAATAGTGTTTTACTAGTTTAAAAATCGTTTCTATATTGTTTATGAGCAGAATAGATATCATAAATTATACAGTGAATTATTTTTTAGCGCAATTATATGTGCACGCAATGAATCTTAAAATTCGATTTTCTGGGAAACTAAATCTCGCATAAAAAGCTTTTAGTGCGTATTTTTTATTACTTTTTCTTATAACAAATCGCCTTATGGCCATTTTTACATGTCATAGGATCGAATCCTGTATACGTACGCACAGGCTGATTTCCACAATTATATTTTTTTATGGCATTTTCTAATTGAAATAAAAAAAAGATGTTGCAGGACAAAAATGAATTTTTGATAGATGCAACAATGCATGTGCATTCTGCAGTTGCATTATTTTATAAATCTAAGCCTACTTCTCTCTTTGGATATATCGAATTCTCTCTGCATTCTGTGTAACAAAGTATTTACGTTAGGTGATGTAAAAATAATTATTTTGCAAATTATTTTAAAAGAGTGTTTTTATTAGAGACAATGCTCAAACGTTTTCCCATTACGTCAAACATTTCGTTCAACGTTTTTTAATCGTTTACACACAGCATTAAATTAACCTTTTGTTATTGCTTCACAGATTGCTTTCACTAGTTCTCTTACGTCCTCTATAGAATTTAAAATACGTAAATATACTTATCAATCTAAAGGTTTCAATTGGGCGAACTGCCATAAAACCTATTACAAAAACAATCAACGACTGTCTGAATACTTCCTTCACTTCAAATACATTCTCAAAATATTTTACCAAATAATTACTTTCCAACCATGTCATCTTAATACTTCCAATTTTAAGTTCCAATTTTAAAAAATAGTGTACACTCTGAACGATTCAATTCTGTCTAGTAAAATGTTTCCCTAATTTTAACCAAATACTGGACGTGTCTTGTTACATCTCCATGAATCGCCCTGTATAAAATGCTTAACATAATGTTCAACTCAAATGCTCTAACATAACCAATCCTTTGATTCCAGAACCCAGTCGCGACAGCATTCGAGATCTTCTGGATGATCTTCGAGCCAATCCTGTTCGCCGTGACCGGTGCTCAGATCAAAATCGACGAGCTCGACGGAAAGACGGTCTACCTAGGCCTGGCTTGCCTGGTGTCAGGCATCGTGATCCGGATCATCGCGACGATCCTGGTCGGCATCGGTTCCAAGTTGAATCTCAAAGAGAAGATCTTCATCGCGTTCTCCTGGATGGCGAAGGCAACCGTGCAGGCGGCGCTGGCGTCGACGACCCTCGAAAAAATCGACCCGAACGATCCGGATCAAGTGTTCTACGCGGAAACGGTGGTGACCATGTGCGTGCTGTCAATTCTGCTGACCGCTCCAGCGGGAGCGATCATCATTACCTTGTCGGGACCTAAACTTCTAACGAAGACCACCACGCCGGTCACGCCTCCCGAGGGATGGAAGACGCGCCGGCCGTCTATCCGTGACATCTCCATCATCAACGAGGACCCGGACCTAGAAGACACAGCGAACGAGAGGAAACCTTGAGGCACAGACTCTTCCTATCGAACGTGACCGTTTTCTTTTTATTCAGTGATGCCAGATGAAGACTTCATCCCCATTCTACTTTATCCTAACCACCATTCTACCCTCTTTCGTCGAATTCCTCCGTTATCCCCACTGTCACTGCTAGGTTAGTCACGTTACGTTGTGATGCGCCACAATGACGAATTTTAGAGTAACTATCAGTCGCGCGACGTTGTGGCACGATGCAATAACGAATCCTAGCGTCGCTATCAATCACGTGATGTTATCTCACGATGCAATGACAAATCCAGCGTGACCAGCAGCCACACAACTATATTGACAGTGGTAGTGATGATAATAGAGAAATCCACCGGCGAAGAATATAGTGATAGTAAGGGTAACTATATACCCCTCCATTTTCCCTATCTGACAATTCCGCTTATATTTTAAATCGAGCTCTTGAACCGAGGGAGAAGGCTCGCGAATCCCCGTTCCAGGGATTCCCATTGTCTCCATTTTATTCTCTTACTCCCAATATTCGTCGCTAAGTACCCGGTTCCATTGTTGCGATACCGAGCGGAATCGTAATCGGGCGTACGTCGTCGGTGTTCGATTCGTGGTACCGTAGAATTCGTAGAATGTTTCGACGGCCGATGTTCCTATTTGTGGTCGAGAATTTTGTTTGTGAAAAAATACTGATTTTTGAATGCGAGACTTGATTTCTTGACTGAAGGATAATCAGTGAGAAAATGAATCTTTCTTTCCTGGTAATTATGTTTCCTCACACGTTGGTGGAATTTCGCGTTATGATATAACAATTGCAACGGCGTCAATGTGTTGTTGTCTATGAGAAAAGGGTGGTCTTTGAATGCAAGAACATATTTAACTTTTTAACTAGAGAAATATTGAGTGAGAAATTTAAGAACGATTCCTAGTCGGCCAATTTTCTCGCGCATCAATGGTCACCATGGTAGTGTTTGAATAATTTACACGCGCCGGAATCATCTTATGTCTACTAAGCAGGGAGGTGTATTGTATCTTGCAACTGCTTCAATTTCGGGCAGTGTATGGTTTCGGATACCTGATGTTCCTTAGCTAGAATGCGAACCCATGGACCCGAGTGAAAGAAAACATCGTTGCCGTTTGACTTTGCGTCCACTGTCGAGACAGTACTGTACTACACATTCGATATTTTTAAATGTTTTTACTATTTTCGGTACAGTTACCCAAGAAAATTGGTTACACCGCTTGCTATTAACTGGCTGTCCTTTGAAATGTATTTTAAATACGAAATTTGGATCAGATACACACTATGCTCAATATTCCTTTATCGTCCCTTACTTTTGATTTGCTTACACATCGTGAGCAAATGCATTATAAATGATTGAACTCGAGAGCGGATTAACAAAGGATTGAGAGCTAATTGATAATATGTATCAGGCTTTAGAATAATGGAGAATTATTAACAGGTTGAATGCCGTGGGGGTCACCGGTGACACCAAACCAAATCGAATTACTATAGTTCACTGAGTTAAACGATGATTATTTGAAAACATTTCTGTATTATAAATAATATTATTTAATGCAGTGAGATACGGGTAAATCAATGTGCAGTAATAATAATGCAATTCAATCAAATGATTTAATATTATATTTTTTCTATTTGTAAATTTTGCTCTATGATATCGTGCGGCATTCAACGTGTTAAAAAAAAAATGTAAGGGTTCGGAGTGTGAAGAGATAAAATTATATAAAGTATATAGACGTCACGTCTATTATAATTTTAATACTAATATGATTGGATTTACGTCTTATCCAGTTAATAGATTGGCATTTTCCAGCGACAGTTGCTGCTATTGAAACTTTCGAGTGTGAGCCACGTCTTTTTCAAGAAATTTTCTCGGCATTTCACTAGTACTGTGACTACCTTCGTAATGGGATGACGCAAAATACACTGTGCTCATGTTATGTTTCACTAGTCACTGAAGGCTCCAGTAATAAGAAACCTTGATTTAAATAGTTTCGCTATCAGCCAATTTGAAAGTTGGAAAATTTCTTGCTATGCATTGTCTGTAATTGTTCATTACAAATAATTAAGTTTTTGTTTTCCTCGAACGATTCGAATTAGTGTACTACTTGTAAATACAATGCTGGGTAGGAGTAATAGAGTCCAAAAGGAGAAGAAAGTATACATAAAGAAATAAACTTTCCCAATATTAGTATATTTTTAATTTAGAAGTAATAACGATATCATTTATCAATAGTTTACAGAAAATATATATAGTATGAGACGATATTGAGTTTCATTGTTGGGATAGGGACTCTTGCCTTTTTGTTGAATGATATTAGTAGAAGAATTACTTAAATACATTATATTGTTGTATAAGAAGAATGAATTTATTTTAAAAATTTGAAGACTAAATCTACAGTTGGAAATTTGAGCCATATTTTAGCTTGTATTTGTACAATTTTAAGATTTTACTCTAGATTTAGACCTTACATTGGTCTATTAAACACAAATGATATTTTTCTACAGTCTGGGATAAATAAAGTGTTGCAGAATTTTTTGTTTAA